TGAAGATATTATCATTTTTTCTTTGCTTATTTCTGTTTACTTCCCTAACATGGAAGCGGTTAAAATGGATATTCTTGAATTCTGCTGTGCGCAGTGACGCAAGAGGCAGTGGCTAGTACAACTGCGCTTTCATCATTTCAGCGCATAGATGACAAAGTTTTACGGCACGCAATTTACTAATTCGTCGCAACTTTTCAACCGCAGCACAAGAGTCAACACGAGACCAGAAAACTTGTCACGAATGTCGTGAATCCGGACGATAAATTTAAGCTATTGGTTTACACAAGAATATAGTTTGGATGAAACGATTGTCGGCGGTTGTAGAGAGAACTGGGATGCATATAATTATGAAACGAATGGCAACACAGGTCGTTCGTTTGGCTGTGTGTAGTATCTTTCACCCTAGCAATGGCTGGTTGTATGAGTTTCAACAACGTCGTCATACCGATCGAATAATACTGAACGACGGGGGCACAGAATGTGCCCCTGCGCTAAGCGAAGATAATGATCAGTGGCATAATTTTATCCACTACCAGACTCGCTTCCATTTTTTACTTCTGTTCTCAAAGGTGATTCATATAGCGACATTTAAAAATACAAACAAAGATGAGCTAGTTTTCTTACATATATCACTGCTGGAGAGGAGCTCAAGTCAAATATTAGTTAGGAAAAGAACAATAATATTAATAATAATAATAATCTCATATGAACTATCGGGAATATAGATGGGTGCTAACAGCTCAGTTTCGGGTTTAACTATGTTGTATGCTACTTCCACACACTTACCTCTTGAGAATGAACGACCACACGGAAAGGAAGTATTTGTTCCATCCTGGCAATGTCTGCTCCAACGCTGATTCACGGTCCAATGCAAAGACCTTTCGCCGATGTTGACTGATGCAGTGATCCCCTGTTCATCTCTCAGGTTAGTTTCTTGGAAACGCATTATCATCTCGAACATAAAGCTCTGACTGATTTTATCATAAGATGATAACCAAATATCTAACCATTGCTGTTTGCAAAGGGTCATACGCTGACAACGATGCGAAACACTGAATAGGTAACCGATTATTCATCTCATGTGCAAACGCACATCAAGGTCAGGTGTATTAGGATCTCTTATCTTTCAGATGAGCGTTTGATGAAGAAAATTAAGACCAATTCCAATGATGAAAATGAAAGTTGTCCTCGTAAGCACACACAAGGCAAATGCGCCACGTGATGCCAATGAAAATGAAATCACACGGAGAGAATGATTAGAGTTTCTATCGACAAATCACCCATAAGTTCGAAGTCGCTACTAAACAGAGTAATCTGAACGTGTTTGGGCTCTGCAGCAAAGAACCAGTCCATTGTTTGCTAGTTGTGTATTGCTGAAAATAGCTCAACAAGGTACTGCAAGATGTCACGAAATTTTTATTCAATTTGAAACTGTGGTATAGTGTTCTACAAGAAGAAAATAACATCATCTGTTTTGAGTCCATCTATTGCAGCCACACGTTTTACAGATTGACACGAGAACACCATCACGCAGATGTATATCTGACAGTTCCATTTATGCATGAGCTGAAACGGTGATGGTGCCTAGTTTGCAGTACTCACATTGGTTTGTGGATTGTAGTTGAACATTTGCTATATAGATTAAAGTGATTATGTTTCATGTTTACGTACCGTCTTCAACAATGCTCATTTATCTCAAATCACTACCCACATATGTCACGCTCCTTAGTAATGACACATTCATGAAAATCCGTTAACCTTGCACATGGGAAAATAGACGCACAGACACACACACGGATACGGTCATTGTACAGTGCGATTGTACCATCGTTTCGAATCGCCTTGTTCTTCTCACCCATGACCTTGAACAATAAATCCCCTCCGACCCTCTCTGTGATCTGATTGGATCATTTTCAGCGATTTGCGCAAATTGGAATCTCTCACCCCGAAACGAGACTGCCTGATTGCTAGTTCGTAATGTTTGTCATGCTGTGGTTGTCACTTGTGATCCATCCGTGTGATCACCTTTCACTCGGGTTAGCTGGGTAAGCACCAGGTCCCCTGTTGCGGCTGAAACATCTGACCGATCAATAAATGAACACGATCGATCGACCCGGTTATTGTCCAGCCGACATAGGAGGAGGATAATTTATGAACACGATGTTGTTTAAGAGTTGGTAGGAAATCAGAAGACGAGTATCAGTAGAGCAACCATGCGCCACCTGCGAAATTCGAAATGGAAAACGGTTAATTGATCATGAGACTGGCCAACGCTTGGCTCGTCTAAGGCACCATTTTTCCAAGCGAGTCCGGTAAACTGATAATCATAAAACTTTGAAATTGTCTTAAGTAACGACTGTATTATGCACTAATATAGGCCCACGCAAAAGTTCATGGTATTTTCCCAACTAGCTGTTTTCTCATTGAACGATCCTGCTATATCAGAGATACATCCACGAAGAAAACAATGGTTATGGAAAAATACATATTTGTTTCAATAAACTTGTTCAGTAATTGCCATCGTGCTGCTCGCGTTGCAAGATACGGCGAGGATACTTTTCTTACACCTTCAGTATAGTAGTAATTCGAATACTTTCGCGCCGTGCAAAGATACTCTGTTTAGCTCCACGATCGTTCTCGATTTTCGGTAATAAAAGTATCTCTGTATATATCCCCACGGAAAGAAATCCAAGGTAGACAGATCTGGTGATCCTTTTGTCCTCCTCGACCAATCCGTCTGCAATTTAATTCCGAATCGAGGAAACATGTGGCGATGTACCGTCATATTGGAACCAAACTGCTGTACCAACTTTACTTTGTGTTTAGCCGGATGGCGGGTACCACGTTATCATGTAACATTTGTTCGTATTAGGCGCCTTGAACAATGTATGAAGCGAAATTGTTCTTAACTTCTGTGTTTCCGTTGATGAAGTACTACCCGACAACCGTGCTGTGCATGATATCAGCCCATACTAAAACCTTGGGATTATGAAGCGATTTTGAGCCAACAAAGTATCTTGGGTTTTCCACGGCTCAACGAATGGGGTTTCTCAAACTTATCTTCACATGCGAGAGTGACTTAGTCAAACTAAATTTCACTCCGCTCAACGGGACTAATCTCACGACCACAAACAACCGTGTTTTGACGAACACTGTAAGAAAATGACCACCAAAGGTAGATAAAAATTGCCAGTATCCGCACAGTATTGCAAAAGGCATCTGTGTAGAGCAAAAGATGGATTTGTAGCAAAATCTTAAATCGTCAGTTATCGTGGCTTGTCTCTCCTTTGGAAATCAACCACAGTGCTGTTTAAATCAACTATACACTCCCGAAATTCACCCGTAATCCGAGCAGTAGCCACAATAGCATTAGATACTTGATCGATTATGGTCCTGATGGTCGAGTTGATTATCCGACATTGCATTAGATTGACTACCAGTTAAACTAATCATCTATTCAGAGTGCTCTGTCTCAAAAATATGACTGTTAGTCCAATCATGACAGTGGTGACGAGAATGAACTTATAACCTCCCCCTTCGTTATAATTTTCTGCTCTCAGTTTGGTGTGCGAAACCTGAAAGTTTCAATGATTGCTACTGTATAGATAGATAAGTACAGTGAATTTCCGTACTCTGAAATTGTATATGGGGACTATCTAAAACTCTTTGCTCCAAGCTAACAATGGTGCATGAGGGTGGTCAGTTTTCCCTAAACCGCGTTTATTTTAAATACACGTGTCCCAAAATGGGAATAGGCCATAACGACTGGCAAAGTGGAAGCAGATGCAAATCAGGAATCTGTAATCAAAATCGCAACCAGCATCCAATCTAAGGTACTTATATCAGACTCCATTTCATATTTGTGGCGTCCGTCGGTGCGCAACTTTAACACATCACAATGTTGACATTGTACCCCGTCTCAATAAACCTTCGACCGTGGCTTCAATCGCCTGCGTGATTCTTGTCTACCATAGCATTTTATTCGGTTCGCTTTATCGGTTGCTGAACGAATACGCTCCCTCTTCTCCTTCTTGCCCGTTTATTCGCTTGACGTTATTAGCATAACACCAACCCCCCACCTATATTTATTCACCGTTCTTTCTTTCGATATGTATATAAGACAAAGAATGAAACAGATTATACAAGCTACCTTTCGACCATCTCATTGAAACGTGCAATTCATACATTCGGCAAATTTTCATTAATTTCTCTCAATGTTTCTAGCAGTGTGCCTGTCTGTGTAAGCGTGGAGGAATCCATGCATTCCTCTCTGTCTACACATGTAGATTTGTCCGACAAGTCATATGTCCCTGACTCTCCATGTACACACTTTCCATCACAATTTCAGCACATTCTTCCCGTCAGCCGTTCGCCGGCACATTCATTTATGCAAACCAATTTTTCCGTTTATCACGGTGGCTGTTTGCTTCCTATTTGCTTTTACTTGCTCCCTCTTGATTTGGACTATTCGAGCTCTTATTCTAGCGCTTTCGATGCGATAAGTGTCTATCAATTGTGTTCACCTCATATCTCATTGTTTTCATTTAATTGTCTCCTTTTGACAGCACGCTTAAGACTGCTAAAATTGGTGAGATACATAGTTTCAAATCTCGAAAAACCACGTGATGCCGAGGAGTCACGACAATGCATCAGGAATGGTCAATTCCATACAGCACATTTTGTATAAATACCTCCACTGTATAACAGCGTGTAAAACTGAAAGAAGCGATTTCAGATGAGAATCCTGGTAACAATCATTGTGCTTCAAGCAGCATGGTGCGTGAGAAGCCAAGGTGAGATAATCCACGAAAGAATGAAATTATTGAACAACAGTAAATTTATCGCGACGATAAAATCACTGTAGAATCATAAGAAAACAATAGAAATATGACACATGATAGATTTTAAAATGCCGTAATCAAACAAAAATATAAGTGAAAGCGTGAGTTCCAAATCCAAACTGATATAAATCCATGAGCAACATGTTTTCTATTTACCAGGTCCGAAGGCGAAAGTTGCGGGCTGTGGGGATCTTGAACTTCAGGTATCAGCTTTGAAAGACGGTTGGACTGTCCCGATACAAAACACACCATTTACCGACGCTGCCACATGCGACTATGTGTTGACTGCCACAGAAGGGAAGAAGATAAAACTGGTATTTACAGAGTTCAAAGTGAGTTCAGTTTCACAAGTATATCGAAAATCAATGTACCTATTTCTATGAACTAGCACACAGCTTTATTCCAAATAATGTCACACTTTGTGCAATGCGTCCGATCATCTGAATGCTCTTAGTATTTTACAAACCAAACAGTACACCAATAGTTTCAAAACGTAATCCTTTACAATTCATTGAACTTGAATTTGTTACTCCTCTCATCGTTTTACCACTTGGCGTCAGGTCGGAGAACAGTCGTCAGATTGTCCGAACGATTATGTACAAGTTGGTAACAGTGCGGAGTTCACCAAGGACAACTACAAGAAATGCGGACAGTCTGTGAGTGAGCAGCCACCTGTCTCGAAATCGAACAAATTGTATGTGAAACTTGTCGCGGGGAAAACGAACGCTGCAAACATCAGATTCGTTGCCTCTGTGACAGAAGGTTCGTTATTTGTCTTGGATTTTGTGAAGATCTATTTAATCGATTTTATTTTTATTCGTTGGTTTTTGATGCTTTTTACTTTTCGTGGATGTTTTGTTATTTTACTGCATCGGATGTCTCACCTTGCTTTTTCATGGAGTCTCTAGTATTTGATATGCAGGATTTCTACACAAATTCTCTATCGGTAAATGCTGCCAGAATTATAAATTGAAATATAGAGCAAGCGGATGTGTAAATTACCTATCGAAAACATTAAAAATAATTCATAAAATACATTCGCCTTCTGTTTCAGAGTAAGGATGTGAATGTTTGGTAAAGTGTTCTTATGCATGCGTATATGTGCGTATGTATTTCCTTTTGTAATGTGTATGTTTGTATGTATGTATTCGTGCGTATATGAGTGTCTGTAATCACGTCCGTCTGTCCGCATGCATGTATGCACAAATTTATGATGGTATGCATTCCTTTTATTTATGTATGTATGTCCGTCGTGCGTATGTATCTCTGATCGGTAGCATTTATCGATCAGGCAGGGCATTGTAAAATGAACGCGTAAAACTACACAAACTCATTATATTTCAAGTGCCGTCTTGTGCCTCTATTCGTGCCATGCAAACATCTTACCGTATAAACACATTCACCAGTGTCGAATATCGCATCAGGCAGATTAATCTACGCAAAATGCTACATTCCAATTCCAACATTCAGTCAGCACGGAAACTATTCGCAATCCGGGTTGTGGTGATTCCCAACTGGAAGTCTCCTCATTGAAAGACGGTTGGACTGTCCCGATACAAAACACACCATTTACCGACGCTGCCACATGCGACTATGTGTTGACTGCCACAGAAGGGAAGAAGATAAAACTGGTATTTACAGAGTTCAAAGTGAGTTCAGTTTCACAAGTATATCGAAAATCAATGTACCTATTTCTATGAACTAGCACACAGCTTTATTCCAAATAATGTCACACTTTGTGCAATGCGTCCGATCATCTGAATGCTCTTAGTATTTTACAAACCAAACAGTACACCAATAGTTTCAAAACGTAATCCTTTACAATTCATTGAACTTGAATTTGTTACTCCTCTCATCGTTTTACCACTTGGCGTCAGGTCGGAGAACAGTCGTCAGATTGTCCGAACGATTATGTACAAGTTGGTAACAGTGCGGAGTTCACCAAGGACAACTACAAGAAATGCGGACAGTCTGTGAGTGAGCAACCACCTGTCTCAGAATCGAACAAATTGTATGTGAAACTGGTCGCGGTGAAAGCGAACGCTGCAAACATCAAATTCGTAGCTACCGTTTCAGAGGGTGAGTCGGATAGTCCGTCCGTTCGATTCTGCATAATCTCATTCCGGTGGAATATTTGGTGACAAAAACAGAGCACGTAATTTGATTGGAGATAATGGAATTATTCCAACCTAATTGCGTGGTCACGATAGGTTTTTTGTCGATTGTGATATTACCCAATGAACTGCGAGTTTCAACTAGTTCTAAACTAAGCATTCGGACTGTAGCTAAGATGTGTACTAAGCTACAATTGCGAGAAGGAAATATTCCATAGAATGTAGCGCATTGATGAAAAGGGATGATAAATCGATTTATACACTCCATAGGGGAAACGGTAAAGTGCTAAGCGATTCAAGACAGTCTAAAGAATTCACATAATAAAGAAACAATACTGCTTAATCTTTGCACGTCGAACCAGGGAGAGGATATAAAATAAACTGACCTACAGCAATTCGTCGAACATATCAAATCACCATTACAGACG